ATTCTATTCTATTCTATTCTATTCTATTCTATTCTATTCTATTCTAAATTCTATTGTTGTGAAGATAACCAGGGAAGCAAAAAGACACAGGCAGAGGACAAAAGAACTAAGAGGAAACCTTCAGGTTTTATACACTGATGACTTAGAAGTGAGTTAATATCATGTCTTTGATATGTAAAAAAAGATGTTGAGGCTCTAGAAAGAGTGCAGAGAAGAGCAACAAAGATTATTTTGTGGGGCTGGAGTCTAAAACATAACAATGAATAGTTTTAGAAACTGGGGGTGTCTTGTGTAATGAAGAGAAGGACTAGGGGTGACACCATCGTCATCTTCCGATACTTGAGGGGGGCTGTCACTAGAGGGCATGACCAGAAACAATGGGTGGAAATTCTTCAGAGGTAAGTCCAACCTTGAACTTAGGAGAAACTTCCTGACAGTGAGAACAGTGAATCCGTGGACTTCCAGAAGTTTTGGGCGCTCCATCACTGGAGGTTTTTAAGAAAAGATTGGACAGCTATTGGTCTGGAATGGATTAGGCTCCCTTGCTTCTGTAGGCGGTTGGACTAGAAGACCTCCAATGTCCCTCTCTGTTTTTGTTTAAGGAATTTTATTTATTTTCTATTGTTTACGTTTTGTTAGTGCTTAACAAACATCGTGTTGTCTGGGTTATTCAATTTGCTTAACAACACAGATTTGCTTAATCTCCACCTCTTTTTTTCCAAACGCTGGTAAAATAAAGTCCACGTTTGATAATATTCTGTGTCTTCTGTTTAATCTTCAGCGTAAGCCTGCACCATCTAATCTTTTCCTAATTATCTCTTTGTCTTGTTGTGTTTCTTCATTTTTCCAATATTGTGCAAATATAATCCTCGCTGCTGTTAAGACGTGCAATATTAAATATAGAGTCTGCTTATCATGTTTTTTCTGATATTATACCTAATAAAAACAATTCAAGGTTTAAAATCTACATGTTTTCCTATCATCTTTTCTAACCACTTATGTATTTTTGCCCAATTTTTTTTTTTTGGTTTTGTTTTTACCCAAATCCACTACATAGGATAATAAATGCCGTCCAATGTCTCTTCTAACTCTGTTAGTCTAACCAAAAGGAGGACTGGGGTGACATGATAGCAGTCTTCCAATATTTGATGGCTTATGACACAGAAGAGAGGCTCACACTACTTTTCAAAGCACCCCAGGGCAGGACAAGAAATAATGGGTGAAGATCATTTAAAGAAAGATCCAGCAAGGAGCTAAGGAGAAATTTCCTGACAGTGAATACCAATAATGACTGGGACAACTTGCCTCCAGAAGTTGTGGTTGCTTCACCACTGGACATTTTCAAGAAGTATAACTTTTAGCTAGACAATTTGGGATGGACATCCTTTGAATGGTGTGGGAGTAGCAATGGATTCCCAGAGGAAAAAAAATTCAGACTACAGGAACCATTTGTACCACTGAGGTGACCCTGAGGACACAGATAAACCTCCAAGTGCAAATACTTGGTGTGGCCAGTCTAGTGAAGAGAAGGACCAAGGGAGACAGGAGAGAAGTCTTCCAATATTTGAGGGGCTGCCAAAGAGAGAAAGGGGTCAAGCTATTTTCCAAAGCACCTGAAGGCCAGACAAGGAACAACAGATGGAAACTGAACAAGGAGAGATTCAGCCTGGAAATAAGGAGGAATTTACTGACTGTGAGAACAATCAACCTGTGGAACAGAAGTCGCCTTCGGAAGTTGTTGGAGCTTCATCACTGGAGGCTTTCAAGAAGAGACTGGAGTGCCCTCTGCCAGAAATGGGGCAGGGTCTCCTTGGGCGGGAGGTTGGATTAAATGACCTACAAGTTCTCTTCCAACTCTGTTCATCTGTATCTGTATGACCTGGATAACTGAGAATCTCTGTAAACGTTTAGCTATCCAATTTGGGATGAGCACCCTTCGAATGGTGTTGGAGTAGGAATGGATTTCCAGAGGAAAATTTGCAGACTGCGTGAGCCATTTGTACTGCTCAGGTGACCCTGAGGATACAGATAAACCTCCAACGTGCTTCAAGGACCCTCTGAAAGGGTGCAAATGACCAGCTCTCTGAAAGGAATATAAATCCTTCCATTCCCCACCATCTAGCCAGAGCTGAAGAAGCTTCTTGGAGAAGCAAAACATCTTCAAAAGGAAAAAGCAAGAAAGCCCCATTGTCTCCTGAAAAATAAAGCACCTTTGGGTGACTCTAAGAGATTAAACCTGCAGGTTTTTCTGCTGTAAATGACCCCAAAATCCCAACTACCTGAAAAGCAGCATGGCCCCCAGTTTCTTGATTTGCTTTAGGACCAATATCCTTGAAGTTTCGCTGCGTATTATGCAGAAAGCCTGTTTAGTATCTGAACGTTTGCCAGCTGGGGCGAATGATCCAAACTATGTCTGCTTCATTAGTTGCTCAAGTGCACCACCTTCAGGCAGAATCGTGTAGGTACAGATTAAGGAAAGATGGGGTCGAACAGAACCGAAATAGAAGTTTATTTTGCTTTCATTATCCGGACAGGAAACCTAAGGAGTTAGTAAATAACAGCATAACGGAATTGGAAGGGACCTCGGAGATCTTCTAGTCCAACCCCTTGCTCAAGCAGCAAATCCTACACCCTATTTCAGATAGTTGTGCCCAATTTCTTCTATGTTTGTCTCAAGGCAAGGAAGACCTACAGGGGCACAAGGTGTTTATTTCCAATATGCACCAGTCAGCTCTCAAAGGAGTATTCGGGAGCAAGCGGAAACAGGAAGCTGCTAAACTAATGGACAGTGCAGCGACGATTCATGGCGAATAGAACTCGCCATTGAGTTAGGTATAGTACCAGAAAATTTCTGTTGAATATTGCATGTTTTGATGGCAGCAAGAATTGTTATTTGCACAGTATTGGAAAAATGAGAAAATGCCCAGAGATGACGATGTAGTTAAAAATATATATATTAGACTGCACAGAAATGAATGGATTGACATTAAAGGTAAAAGAGAAGGAAGATGAGAATGCTTTCAAATATGGGATTTGTTTTATAAACAGTTGGATAATAGAAGTAGAAATGAGGACCTGGGAAAGCATTAATATGTAATATTAATATGCACTATTCACAAAGCATTTATGTATGTTAAATGAAAATGTACAAATAAACTCTTTTTTTTTAAAAAAAAAAAGAACTGATCATTAATACTTGGAAACTTCCAAAAGAGTTTTTTTTTCATCCTGGTTGCAGGAAAACCAGTGCAACATACCATATTTTAAATACGGAATATTTACAACGAAGCTCAGAAATGTGGATTTATTAATTTTTTAAGGGTAACTTGCTTCTAGATCCAAGGTGCACGGGCTACTTTAAGGCAAACAGATGTGCATTAGAGAACCTGAGAGGTTTTATATATTGATGACTTAGAGATGAGGTAATATCATTTTTTTTTTATATGAAAAAGATACGACTGATACGACTCTAGAAAGAGTGCAGGGAAGAACAACCAGGATGATGAGGGGACTGGAGGCTAAAACATATGAAGAACGATTGCAGGAACTGGGCATGGTTAGTCTAGGGAAGAGAAGGACCAGGGGAGACAGGATAGCAGTCTTCCAATATTTGAGGGGCTGCCACAGAGAGGAGGAAGGGGTCAAGCTATTCTCCAAAGCACCTGAAGGCCAGACAAATAATGGATGAGAGTAATAATGGATGAGAGCAATGAGAGCAATCAACCCATGGA